TCGCCACCGGTGTCGGCCGTAGCCGCTCCCGATTTAGAGCGAAGTGCGCTCACCGCTGCACCGACGCTTCTCCTCCGCACCTCTCGCCGTTGTAATTTTCATATATGTCCAATAACCATCTCCCACGACACTGTCAATTGGCCGAACACCCTTGCAGGAGAGATATAATGAATCTCAATGGCCTCTCACGCGGTTATATAAAGGACATGGAAGTAAATTGATGTTAATGACGGCAGCTGCTGTCGCCGCGTTAGGCCCCAGCTGGAGGCGGAGGGGTGGGGCCCTGGGGGGGCGGGGCGGGGGAGGAGGCGGGGGCTGCGGGGGGTGTGTGGTGGTGGGGGGGAGAGGGTGTTGGGAATTCTGGTGCCTCGGTGGACAAACACAAATGGTCGCCCGGGTAACGAAATGCCGGTCGTCCCGGCAACATGACGCCCTGTAACCATGACGACACCGGGGTGGTCACTAGGGACGGAGTCACCCTTCCACCCACTACCCTCCCACCCGCCCACCAACCCTGCTCTCCCACTACTCTCCCGCCTCCCGCAACTCCCCAATGATACCCGAACCCCTCCCCCCCCCCCCCAAAAAAAAAAAAGACTCCCCCAACCACTCTCCCACGACTCCCCCATGCTCCCAAGCCCCGTAAACCGTGGACTCGTCTGTGCGACATAGAGAGGCCAGCATGGAGACACGGACACACACGGAGACAGATTCTTAAAAAAAGCATTGCCGATCAATAACTCAACAACTCATCAGTGTCCTTTCTATTTAAAGAATACCTACCCAGTGGTGCAAATGGGTCGGAACGCCGTGGTGGCAGTGAACATTTGGACCTGACTGCGTTCCGGAAGAAATCAAAGGATCCATTTTTTTGAATTTGAATCACACAGATAGGCCAGACCCATCGATCAACAGAGCGAGCCACAGACATGCACAGAAACCCACAGACACGCTCAGAGACCCACATGAAAGCGCAGAGAGCAACACATGTAGCAAAGCTCCTCCTCCCCCTCCTCAGATCTAGTGGGTTGGGGGGGGGGTCTTTATGAGTTCCTCAGTCATATCTTCCAATTTACAGCCCTGTACCTAGCCATCACAAAGCAAGTCCTCGCAATCTTCATCGCCATCAACGACTGCCCCCTTCTGGGATCGCACTGTGGCACTCACCATCCCAGACTCTCACCCAGATCCGGAAGAACGCTGGCCAAGAGAGCGCAACAGAATCCGTATTCATACCGGAGGAATCCGATGAGCTGTAAAGCTCTTTTCCCCACAGATGTCCAGTCGGGGCGGGTCAGAATAAACGCCTCATCCGAGACCCAAACATCACACTCCTCCTGGCGTTGACACTCCTCCTTGCAGACACTGTCGGAACCATCACCCGCATCAGAACATCACCAATATCAGAACATCACAAACATCAGAACATCACCAACATCAGAACATCACCAACATCAGAACATCACCAACATCAGAACATCACCAACATCAGAACATCACCAACAGGCCGATGCGTACATCTCCACCTCTATCGTTGCGAGTATTTGGCCGCTATACATTTCCACGTGAATAGCCACCTCGTTGCCCTATTATGTGTGACTATGTCCCTTCTGAACAGAGCTATATAGCTCAGTGGGCCTTACCTGGTAAAGACAAAAACGTGTATAGTTTAGTTTTTAGTTATACATGTGAAATTAGAGACACAAGCCGCATTAGTGCGATTGTGGCCATGCAACCCAAACTATGGACCGCTTAGTACTCCCACAGAGATACGTAGAGACACAGATATATACAGAGAGATACACAGAGACCCTGAGAGACACATTAAAGACCCACAGTCGTGTCGTTAACATTCTACCATTGTTGAGTCGTGACGTAGCCAACACGGTGGAGTCTAGCAAACCACTCGACGAGGCTCGATTATTGCAACTCACCACTCTACAGGACGTCTGGCAAAAAAAAAAAAACCATTAGCAAAGCTGCAGCGTTTACAACAGTTCTCTGACACGTGTTGTGACGGCTACTGCAAGATCCGACTGTCTCGGTCCGGTGCTGCGTTGGCTTCCGGCTGCTGAGCGAACACATTTATTACAGGGCTGCACTCGTGACACACAAAGCGCTCGACGCAAATGAGCCACACAATTCCTTGCTGATATCGTCACGGATCGTAAAGCATCACGCAACCTCCGGTCGGCTTCGCAGGGGGCTCTTGGCTGAGCATCGAACAAAGACGGTCACTGCATCGGGCACTTTCAGGTGCGCTTCTGCGGCCGTCCGGAACGCCCTTCCCTTCCGATGTTAAGAAGTCACTGGAGCTACGCACTTTTAAAACACAAATCTGTTTAGTTTGCTGTCCTTCCCCCCGCACCTCCGATTAGCACGGTTGGCTAAGTACGGCGCGAAAGAAGTTCAACATATATACGTGCTTCTAGTGGACACTGCCCCTGATTTGGTGGACACTGCTCCTGGTTGGTGGACACTGCCCCTGATTGGTGGACACTGTCCCTTGTTGGTGAACACTGCCCCTGATTGGTGGACACTGCCCCTGATTGGTGGACACTGCCCCTGATTGGTGGACACCGCCCCCTGATTGGTAGACACTTCCCCTGGTTGGTGGACACTGCCCCCTTGTTGGTGGACACTGCCCCTGATTGGTAGACACTTCCCCTGGTTGGTGGACACTGCCCCCTTGTTGGTGGACACTGCCCCTGGTTGGTGGACACTGTCCCTTGTTGGTGGACACTGCCCCTGGTTGGTGGACACTGTCCCTTGTTGGTGGACACTGCCCCTGGTTGGTGGACACTGTCCCTTGTTGGTGGACACTGCCCCTGGTTGGTGGACACTGTCCCTGATTGGTGGACAACATTGGCATTTAGCTCATGGATCAGAACTACATACGACTCAAGACCATGGGAGCCCTGTATAGACCCGTAGACAATCCACACGAGTGCGATTGTGGCCACGCAACCCAAACTATGGCCCATACGGGAAACCCACCGCAGTCCTTCAATGCAGGACGAGGAAGACCGGAACAACGACACGGGCTCCCTCGTCGTGGGCGGCAGCAGTAGCAGACCTCCACATTGGCGTTGAGCTCCTCCTGGACATATTGTCCGCTGCCAATCGTGCGCAAGGAAGGCAAACCCCAAATACCCACGCGGCTCCTCCTATCGCGGCTTCACGCTTGCTGCGTTGTGTGTCGCGGGCTGTCACGCGCGAGGCCTATTAAGCTTGCGTTAGTGAGACACGGAGAGAGAGAGGGGGGGGGGGGAGAGAAAGAGAGAGAGAGCTGTAGATGCGAAGTGACAGATGTAGGGATGAAGAGAGACGGGAGCGTCGACTCGGAGGGAGATTCGCGAAGGCAGACGCGGAGATCGAGAGGGAGAGATTGAGACAAAACGCCGAGAAGTAAAAGAGCTGACGATGCAGACGTGTATTAATCGGAGACAGAGACGGCAGACGTCGAGTCAGACACGAAGACGTTGAGACAGACAAAGAGACACCCACACAGACACGAACAGAGAGAGAGACACACAGAGGCACCCCGAGAGAGACACGAACACATTTCAGAAAGACACGCAAACGCAAAGAGCCACGGATACAGACAAGAGGTCACGGCAGCAGAGACAAACACGACGAGAAAGACGAATCGACATTTTTTTAGGGGGTGTGTTGGGGGGGGGGGGCTCTAAACAACTGCGGGGGGGGCGCAACGAATCGGGCACGCGATAATTCATCGATAGTAATCGATTTTTTTTCGTCGACAGTTTGAGTACAGCGGCCTCTAGCGGCTGCATGGTCCACGCGCGCGCATTAACTTACGATGCCATTAAAACATCAAGCGCGCGTGTGTGTGCGTGTGTGCGTGCGTGTGTGTGCGTGTGTGTATGTGCGTGCGTGTGCGAGCGTGCGTGTGTGTGCGTGCGTGTGCGTGCGCGTGTGTGTGTGCGCGTGTGTGTGCGCGTGCGTGCGTGTGCGTGCGTGTGTGCGTGCGTGTGTGTGCGTGCGTGCGTGTGTGTGCGTGCGTGTGTGTGCGTGCGTGTGCGTGTGCGTGCGTGTGTGCGTGCGTGTGTGTGCGTGCGTGTGTGTGCGTGCGTGTGTGTGCGTGTGTGTGTGTGTGTGCGCGTGCGTGTGTGTGTGTGCGTGTGTGTATGCGTGCGTGTGTGTGCGTGCGTGTGTGTGCGTGCGTGTGTGTGTGCGCGTGCGTGTGCGTGTGTGTGCGTGCGTGTGTGTGTGCGCGTGCGTGTGCGTGTGTGTGCGTGCGTGTGCGCGTATGCGCCTTTTTGTCAAATCCACCACATCGACGCCTGCGTCATCCCCAAGCCGTGTCGGTCGCAGGCGGGGGGGTTGTTTGACCATACTTCACCACGCTGGTCAGTGCGGGGTTTGGGCGAAGAGTGGAGCAACCAACAAGGGGCGTCGCGTGTCAACTCGCCACGGTTAACGTTAGGCCATGGCCGGGGAGTCGAACTCTGGTCTCCGCAGGTTCCATGCGCCCACCCCTCCTCTATCGCATAATCATCGCCGTCACAATCGCTATCCGTGGTCTATCCACTGCTGGATGAAGGCGTCTTCGGCGCCTCTGTTTATGTTGGTGGTGGGAGCTCGTTTCGACCGATGCGTGGAGCCCGCGGGATGTACACAGCTTGCTTTGTGTGGAGCTGACATTTACGTCTCGTCGTGAAACCGGCCCAGAACTTACTACTGCGCGTTACGCCCCCCCCCCCCCCCCACTACACCCCACCCCCCACGTCCCTAGCCCCCCCACAGGCCCCCCCCCACAGCCCCCATACCCCCCCCCCCCCCCCACAGACTCCCCCCCCCCCTCCTCCGCCACTCCTAATAAACCCAGAGCCAATTTTCCAATTGGTTCTTATTTCATTAAACGCATTCTCTCTCCCGAAGTTGTAATGAGAGAGGCCGCTCAGGGCACGGAGTAAGCCGAGTGAGGTGTTTGGGTGTTGTTGTGGTTGTTGTTGTAATTAGTCGACTGGACTCACGTGACCTGCGGCATCTCCGCTATGACCACGGTGGTGAAGTATGGCGACAATGCAGCCCGCGCGACGGTGTTTGTTGAGGACTTCAGCAGGGGCTGTACATTTCGTTTTAGTGTCATTATCATTTGTTTACAGCTGCGCAGTGGTGATGTCGCGCACGCCTCTATGCTACCCCACTGCTAACCTATACCAACCCCACAAATCCAGAGTTTAACTAATAAACACATCACCCCTACCCCTACCAAGCAACATCGCAAGGTGACGTAGATTGTATTAAAGGCAAAGTTCCCCCCGCGTGTAGCCTCAGCAGCCTGTTGGGGCAAGTGCTGTTAGCGAGCACCCACAAAAACCCGCCACCGCACACGAGGGGGTGAGGGGTCAGCACCACGCCCGGCCGCCTTTGTTTCCCAAATGGCGATGTTTACACATCGCACCAGGTACTCATTTGAGGCTAAGTCGACCTAGGAGAGAGAGACCCAGGACCGGTTCAGATAATCGTCACTGGTGTTGGCCGTGACAAGGTTCATAGCGCAGCGCGCTAACCGCTACACTACCGCTCCCCACCACAGACGCACACTCTCACAGACACAGCCCTTGTTGAGTCTTAGCGTGGGAGCGAGATGCTCTGATGAACAAGACAACTGTGTGTGAGAGAGAGAGAGGGAGTTTTGTGGCTTTAGGGGGAAATGAGGAGGTGGAGGAGGAGGAGGAGGGGGGTCGTGATTTTGACGACACTTCGCGGGGGAGGCCGAGTAGAGAGGAGATGGAGGGAGGCGGCGGAGGAGGAGATGACCAGGAGACGGGGTGAAGGAAGATCCTCTCTCTCTCTATCGCCTCTCTTTGTCTCGGCCACGTGGTGGGGGGGGGGGGGGGGGTGGTGGTGGGGGGGCGGTGGGGGGGATGACGCTCCGAGGCTGGCGCCCGAATTGCGACGCGGGTGGAGGAGGAGGAGGAGGATCGAGGCAGCGGTGGCTTGCGGCGAGTTCGCTCGGGATGAAGGCGGCTGCTGTTTTGGAACTTTATTGAGCGAATGTTTCCATGGATATTCATCACGTGTGCGGAATGCTTCTGTGGTGTGTGTCTCCCCCTCTCTCTTTCTGTATCTCTTTGTATCTGTCTGAGTGTCTATTCTTCTTTGTCTGTGTGCGTCTCTCTCTCTGTATTTTAGCCTACTCTATCTCTCCGGCTCAAAAGGTATATCTGTCTGTCTATATGTCTCGATGTGTGTCTTTGTGTCTGTTTATCTCTCTCACTCTCCATCTCGTTATCTATCTGTCTGTATGTTAATAGGAGTCTCCGTTTGTCTTTCTCCTTGTATTTGTCTCTCTCTATATATAATTGTACCTGTGTAAATTTAGTATCTGTTTCTCTGGCTTTGTCTCTCTATATTAGTCTCTGTCCATCTCCGTGTCTCTCAGGATCTATCTATCCCTCTCTCTCTCTGTATTTATCTCTTTACAAAATACTCTCTCACACAAAGACAAAGATCCCCCGTTAACCCTTATAAACTGTTGGGACAAGGCCTCTTAGCGGCTAACGAGGAAAATTTGGCCACTATCACGCCGGCCGTCTTTGTATCCCCATTGCTGATGTTTATACACCACACCAGGTACTCATTTGAGGCTGAATCGACCGAGTGGAGGCCCAGGACCGCTGCAGTACCCCTCCCCATACCCACCCCTTCGTCGCACACACAAAAACAAAGATGCCCCGTATAGCCTTTAACATACTGTTGGGGCAAGTGCTGTTAGCGAGCACCTATGAAGGTCGGCACAGCACACGAGGGGGTGGGTGGCCAGCACCACGCCCGGTCGCCTTTGTCTCCCCAGTGTCGATATTTTACACATCCTACCAGCTACTCATTTGAGGCTGAGTTGACCTAGGGGAGACCCAGGACCGGTTCGGTTAATCGTCACTGGTGTTAGTGGTCGTGAGCGAGAATCGAACTCGGGTCTTCCGATTCGCAGCACAGCGGGATAACCGCCACACTACCACCCCCCACACACACGTGTACACACACACACGTGTACACACACACACGTGTACACACACACACGTGTACACACACACACGTGTACACACACACACGTGTACACACACACACGTGTACACACACACACACACGTGTACACACACACACACACGTGTACACACACACACACACACGTGTACACACACACACACGTGTACACACACACACACGTGTACACACACACACACGTGTACACACACACACACGTGTACACACACACACACGTGTACACACACACGTGTACACACACACACACGTGTACACACACACACACGTGTACACACACACACACTGGCGGGGCCAGTGGGGGGGGATGGTGTGGCACGTGCCCCCCAATAATCCGATCGAAATCCCTAATTTCGATCGGATCATTGGGGTTTATTAGTAATTAATCGGCATTTTGCGACCCCCACTGCCACCGTGTAGCATATTATTACGTGCCAGGGACTCTATGAGATGATAGTACGATAGTCTGAGTCCATAATTGGCAATAAGTGACGCAAAGCAGTTATAAGTGACTCACAGAATTGTGCGCAGTTGCGTATACAGTACACGACTTCCCTGAAGACATCAACACCTTCAGCGAGCGCGATGCCGATCACACAACGCGGTTCGAATTCGACCCTCGATCGATGGATGCGCCATCGCCGCACACGCGTCGAATTCAAAGCAAGGGACAAGTCCTTACTTACTAACAACCTCTTACTTACTAACAACTCCTTACTCACTAACAACTCCTTACTTACTAACAACCTCTTACTTACTAACAACTCCTTTATCATTTTTCATTGCTGGAGGGGTTGCCCACCCCCCCTACCTGAAAATCCTGGCTCCACTATTGCACGTATACACACACGCGTGTACACACACGCAAAACCACAAACCTCAATCTCTTGGCCCTTCCCACTTTTGATATTATCGTCTCGCCTGTCACTCGGGGTATTTACACCGCCCACAGTGAACTCACGATCGCACCTTCTCTCTCTCACTCTCCCTGCCTCCCTCCTCACCCCGACGCGTCCCCTTCCCGCAGCCCTCACCGCCTTTCACAGTCATTGCGATGCCTCGAACGCGAGATGTTAACTCCCTCGCCTGGTATACAGGAGGTGCGTGGGTTCGATCCCGACCCTGACGCCTGCTGTATATTTGGAGTTATGTAAAAAAAACAATTCCCCTCCACATTTAGAATCAACATGCATTTCGCGTGTTTCGCTGCAAAACATTCCCACGTGATGATAAGCCACTTCGTTGAGCTATCATTTGTGGCCAGGTCGCTTCTGAAAAGGGCTAGCTATACAGCTCAGTAGGCCTTACCTGATAAAATAAACAACAATTTAGTTTAACTCGGAGTTCCCAAACTCCAGACTTTCGCGGTCCACCACCACACTCCGTCTTCCCGGCGTTTACCAATTTAGGCCCAATTCAAATTAACTTCTTCCACGCTGCACGCGCCCGATGATTGTTAAACACGTTCCACGTGACGCTCTAAGCAATTAACGCTATCCCGGATAATAAGCCGGCGCGTTGCTCTGATCAGTCCACTGCTGGATGAAGGATCTCCCCCTAAGCCGTGGCCGTCTCTCACAATCTTGCGACGTTATCATCAGTCCATCGAGCGCCTTGCACGATGCGCAGATCTCAACAACAACATCATCATCATCATCATCCCCGCCGGACAACGTCTTCCTGTGCCTGCTCTCTCCTTTAGTTGCTACTCCGTCGTTAGTCTCGACCACCGGCCATCATCTCTCCCCCTGCCCACAGAGTTCTGTCAATGCCCCACTCGCTTCTCCTAACAGGCAATGTGTCTGATTTATTACAACAGAAACAGCAATATAATTGAGCTATTCCGGAAAGCCTCACTCAGTTTCAAGACCGTGTATTTTGTTCACCAGGGGGACCCTGCTCCAAAAGATTGCGACGTTTGGCCGTGGAATACCATTATTCACGAGAGTTCGGTTTTCGCGTGGGAGGAGGAAACTGGAAAACCCGGAGAAAACCCAGCTCTGTGATACGGGAATAACATCCCCAACCCCCCCCATCACCTCTCACTCACTTTCATAAAACACCTGCAGGCACATTTCCACTTAGTGTGTCATTGATAATAATACAAGTTAATGGAGGGCGGAGTGTGGGGGGTGGTGGGGGTTGGTTGGGGGGGGGCGGAAGGGAGGACCATATAAGGTATTTTATGTAACCGGATGTTTGGATATGTGGCCTGACTCATCCCCTCTTAACTCGCAAACCGCGGACCGTAACGCAGTAACATGAATAATCAGATGATATACCTCCTTGTGTCATTCCACAGAAAATAAAATAAATCATTTCTTTACACATTCCGCCAACCAAAAGTCTGGAATTGCATCATTTCAGCAGCGTTTATTCAATGCAAGCAAACTCTGCCCTTGACATTCGGACCGGTTTCGACATTCACGTGTCTCTTCAGCAGTCAGGCCTACAACGTAAGAGTGCGATTGAGATTCCAACTGCCGGAAGTTAATGGATCTACGAACAAACATATTTGACCGAGGCTATATCACGTCAGCACCCCTCGATAGAATTCACAATACACAACGCGGAGTTAAGTATCGCAATACACGGTTTTTAGTACGTTCGCAAATATGTGGCATTCTAATAGGGCCCGGAGCCTCACAGACAGTCTGTGATAGTTCCACAGAAGGAGTAGGTGCGCGGTGTTGATGGGCGTAATCCCAATTGAGTGCAATGAACGTTCGCATTTTCGCGAGTTGCTAAATGTATACCAATTCCATTATTCGCGACCCCGCCGGACTTCGATATTCGCGGGGGTATGCGCCAGACCACCAACACAGGGGAAGGTGCGTGTAGAATGTTGTTACTTTTGATAATAAATGTGTCTGCCAAGATGAGCCACGGCTGTCTCTGCTACCCGCTTCGTCCTCAGTCTGACAGTAATCGTTTTAACATCATGCGAACTTTCAGTCGACTCGTTTATATACATCGATATATATATAAAAAAGGGCAATTTGTGAATATGTGTGTCTGTTCGAAATGTTCAGCATACTTCCCAACATGCAACAAACTTGACATTTGGCATGTGGGTAGCTTCCAGACTGTACACAATACAAACAGTATAAAAATAAACTTTTGTATTTTGGGGGGGGGGGGGGGCGCAATAATGGATATATTTTGCACGGCAATGAGCGGTGACGTCACATCTGTGATGTCACCCGCATGCGGCAGCGTCACGCAGTGTGCCTGCTGACGTCACGCACCCCCCCCCCCCCAAACCCTCCGCGTTGGCCGTCTTTTAATCCAAGACAAGAATCCAAGTCCCGGGCGAAGCCGCG